AGTATTTTTTCATGAAACTGTGCAACACCTCTTTATGTTTTGGAGCTGGTCTTTTTTTCTTAGGTGCAACGCAGCAAATAATATCGTACCGTCCATCCTAATAACACATGGAATATGATTTATAAGTAACATGACCGGCACAATTATTTTCAAGAGAGTCGTGGTTAAGACAATGACAACATTTTTTTCTGGAGGAAGTTGCTTTATATTTCTTGTCTAAATATAACAAATACTTTTTGTCATTCAGTTTTCAGATTTTGATCAATCCTTTTGTGATATTTATTTAAATATTTGCTACAGCGTTCCTCTATGTCGTTACATGTATACATTAACACGACACATGTAATTCATGATTTTGTCCATCAATCAGCTGTATGGGTGAAACTGAAAAAGCAATGACTATAAGCTACGCAAGATAACTACACGGATCTAAACAAACATTTATGAGATATGCAAATTATGTGATATATATTGAAGTTCATAGCATGCGAATTGAGAAATAAGATTTAAAGGAACAAAAGTAAATTTTGAGAAATGTGAACGCAGTTGATGTTCGTGTACATGTCAGGCTGATTTCTCCAGTTTCCATTGTGTATTACGTATTGCTGCCTCTACACGCTTTTATTTTTGTGTATGTATATGAACTAGTTTAAGTGTAGCGTAAATAAAAAGGGGGAACTCCGGTTTTATCATGGCATTGAACAGAACAAATTTAATTATATATCGCCGTAAATGCATATCTGAGGAGCATCTTATGCACCATTGTTTTTAAACTATCTTTAATATCATTCGAAAGTGTACTTACTTCTTGTCGCCTGAGATCCAGTGACATTAAAGCAACAAATGCGGAGACTAGTAACAAAAAATTGAACAATACGGCAAGCCCTGCATACAATGCAAATGTACGAACAGCTGGCATGGTAGTTAAAGCACCTATATAAAGAAAACGTTGGGTCGAATGAACAGCTGATAAAATCGCATATAGATTAAATACAAGAAAAGATCAAATGAACAGCTGATGTGGTGGCCAAATCCGTGAATGAGTCAAATGAATATCTGACACAACAGTCAAATCAATAACAGGAAAATACACGATTTGATCAAATAAACAGCTGACGTGACGGTCAAATAAAATCTAGGGACAACTGCATGATTGCATCAAATGAACAGTTGCTATGATGAAAACATATGAAAGAATCGAGTGCTCAGTCGACATTGTGGACACAACATCCAAAGCTGTGTCCAGTTTCAATGTAGCAAATCAATTAATATTTACCCAAAAAGAATGCAACTGATTCAGAAAGGCACGACAGCACCATACTAGGCGCTACATCACCTAACACACGACTTAAATTTTCTTCTCTTGTTTCACCAGACCTACGCGTACTTCTCTGAAAATATTGAAACTATCATGTTAATATGCACTAATCATGGTAATTGTTTGTCAATACAAATGTGATATACATTTGAACATGCGACTAAAACAGGTTGCTGGTAAAACGTGAAGGAAAGAGAAAAAATGTGAAAACACGTGGATCAGTGCTCCGACTAACAGGATAATATCAACAGAAAAGCATATTTTATTCGATAATGAAAGCACAAATAAAATCACTTTCAAAGTAAGCTTTACTTGATTTTCCTATTTGCTGAAATAAAATTATGTACTCACCTGATAATCGAGAACGAATATAAACATCATATCAGCACCAATAGCTAACAATAAGAATGGCACTACCACTATTATTATCAATGTAGACTCGACACCGATATAACCATATACTCCCATAGCAGCAAAGGCTGAACACAGAATGAGGAGTATGCCACCAAGTCCGAGGGTCACTTTGGAGTCAATCTGTGAATAGAAAGATGCAAATACACATATGTATGTTTCAGGATGGTTATGTGTTTAGTAAGCTCAGATATATAAACATACTATGAAGTTATTACGAGCATGCTTTGTAGTATCATCGTAATAACCTTATTATTATACATCTTTTCCTCTCAGAAATACATCATCTGAATGCCGAAATACAAAACGTTTAGATTTAGCGAACTTCTTTGTGCTTGTGCTTGTGGGACCGGTCAAACCATGGGGGCAGCCATGTTTTTTTATTAGAGGACACTTACTTAATCGTTTCATGTTTGGACTTCGCGTTTCCTAATATGGTAGGATGAAAATACCCAATGCAATACCGCAAAATTACTGCACGCTGTAACTTATGGCGTTACGATGAAAGCTATTTATGTAGTTGACTATATCACCTCCTATATCGTTTTAAACATTACATATAACAACAACAACAACAACAACATACCACGACAACAATAACAAAAATATCAAATAAATGCTTACCATCTAAGAACGATGAGCAGATATTTGGAATAAAACTGGTTACGAATAGAAATATTTGAAAATACTTACCAGCAAACGATCACATTGGTAGATTTCACCAAGAGCTATGGTAATATAACAAAATATAAACACATAGCTCATAGCGACAGTAAGAATATCTGCTTGACTTGCACGAATCAGCTCGTCTTCAATTGAACGCTGAAATATAGTATATTCACAAATATTCACACTGGTTTTATTCACAAAAGTAGCGTCAAGTATATGCTACGTCATAACACAACACATACTACTTTCGAATATTGCTTCAACTTTCAATGCAAATGTATTCACTTTCTGTTGAATGTAATTACATTTTCTCACCTCTGCGAAGTAGGAAAGGCTAAAATTAGAATTATTCCAATTGGATACAACATCTAAGAAAGCCTTTTCCCAAACTTTAACTTTGTCCACGGCCTTGTCATTGTCTATATAGTTGTCATTCAAAAATATCACCAACAAAGCGGTGGCGTTGTTGTAGTTATCATCTAGACGAACAATTATATACTTATAATTATTACATAATTATTACATAATTAACATAACCAGAAAAGTATATTTATGTTTAGTGAAAGATTAAAAAAAATACTAATTTTAAATTACATCTTACCATCATATCCTCCCATACATGTATATGGGTAATTAGGACCCCCATATTCAGCAAGACATTGCTCGGCATATGGCGTTGTATCTTGCATTGATGCAGGGGAGCTGGAGAAGTACAATACGATATCTTAAATCCACGCTCTAAGTAGTTCAGACAATTGTAAGAATATTATAATTTAAACGAAGAAAAAGTTATTAAAGATGATGTTCAGTATTTTACAATAATAACAGAAAATGCAAACAGTGCCCATAAAACCTAGCACATGCGTCCAGTGTTGCAGACATAATACAATATGTGTATGTGAAAAAAAAAATCAAAATGCGTAAGCATTACTAAATTACTTACTTTACACAATACAAGAAATGATCTCTGTAATCCGCTGAATATTCATCATCTCCACTGGGCGGTACCACTTTATCCAGCAACACATGGTCATTTTGATAATACTGCAAAACACTCTGTATCGTGCATTTTGTGTTATCTGGAGCAAGAGCGGCATAACATATGTCTTCCAGAGTGAAATATTCGTCATCGGCTTCATAGTATACCTTCATGTAGTTTAAATAATCTTGCATGACCAAAGTCTGAAAGCAATTATTGAACATGTACCATTAGTTCATTTTCGTTCAAGATAGCGTTCAAGTTCTGTTTACAAAATTACCAGAAAATAAAGTTGCTGTCTCAATTTGACACCACTAAATAATGAATTTCAATAATAACAATAGCAGCAAGCGTGAAAATTAAATATTTAACCAGATGTTCAAAAGCAAATTAATACATCTAATATTTATATGCCCAGTCGTAATATGAAAGTATATACATTTACATATATAAATATTTATACATTTCATAGAAGACACTCAAAATGAGTATATACTTAATATTAAATTAAACATCACCTGATGTAAGAAGTCTTTTTGCAAAACTGGCCCGAAGTTCTCATGGCGTCCATCAGGCCACGCTGCATAGACAGACGCATTGTGATTAGTTGGTGTGATTATCACTTGCGACACTCTCCAAAACGGTTGGAAGTGTGTATCGTAGTATTCCTTTTCTTTTAGGCATTGACTGTCTTCGGGAACCCAAAGGTCGATTGGATCAACAGTGATGACTATGAAAATGTTTCCAAGACCACAAATAATGACGATTATAAGGGCGATGGCAATTACTTTTATTGGGTGTGACGTCACAAATATGCCCCAGTAGCGAAATACTTTGTTAAGGTATTTATCCAGGCAGAATGCCGTTTTGTCAAAGCAGGTGATTTGCTCAGGTGATACTAACAAGTCCTGCTTCCCAATCTCATATGAATCCTTGCTTTTAATTATTATATAATAAAAAGCTAAAAATGCCAGGTATATTATTACAAATGAACAGAATATCAATATCATTATGAACAAGACGGCGTCTAAACCAGCTATGATCCATGGTGCCTCTTCTGGTGGTCGTTCCAGGGCGTCTCCACATGCCGCCGTGCAGTCTTGGCAACTGCAAGGGTACGTGTCGTCGTACGGTGCAATGTTACACGGTACAAAAGGCATGTCAAAAGGTTCTATTCCGTGTCCATACTCTGTGTCATTCTCTGCTAGAATGAAATTCATTTGGAAAGGTGTTACTCCATTATCAGCACTACCCATGTAGTCCAACCAACGCTGTGTTGTACAGTCTTCGGCCGTATAAGGCCCACACATGAGTCCAATCACCGGGGAGTTTGTGGATGGATAGATGACCTCATTGCACGAGTAGAATGTGCCATCAGCAAATCTCTTACTAAGATAGTAGTCTACTTCGTATATTTGTGTTTGATTGTAATATTCGATGTAGCCTGTTCTCGTGGCGTTGACGAACTTACTGTTATGTGGATTACAAGTAACCTGACAATACAGGTTCATGAAATTTGCTAAACATGCCGGGCAACGAGCAAAGGCAGACTGTGGAAATGCTGTTTGTTTCTGTAACGTGACTATTTGATCTGTGTCGCAACATGTCATGTAATCTCCTGTTATATTATCTACATATATCAAATCTGGACAGAGTTCTAACAAAATGTTGAGGCCAAGTTCATCCGTTAAAGGCTTTGGTACATCATTATATAAACAGTTAACAGTTTTTCCTGTTTCTGTGTCAGATGGACTTTCACCACACTCTCCATACCATATACACATACCGTCTTCATGTACATATGGATACTCCCCGTCAATGACCTACATTATGAAAATAAAATAATAAAATAAGTATGAAAATATAAGTAAATCTAAAACCTATTAGGGAAACAGTGTACTATCTACCATACATAGGAATTATTTTGTTACTAATGCAATTGAGGTACTGCACTGCAGTTTTCCCGGCATGCTATGTAAGACTTTTATATACTAGTAGTTAGAAGTGTGTAGATATGGTTGGATGTGCGTGATAAGTCTATGATTCACCGTTATCACAAAAACTCATACAAAATATGTATGTAATTTTTATTTATTATTGGGCATTCTTTAGTGTTGATGTCGTTAACAAGTCAGAAATTAGAGCAGTATACATATGTTAATACAGACAAATTACAAAGTACACTCTGCACTGACGCAACAACACGATCTCCCTAAATATGCTAAGATCACATATAATTAATTTTTAAAGAGACAGCTATTAATAACTTGTAAAATTTGAGTAAAACAGTTATAAGTCTTCCTACACTTTAATAAGAGGCGCTTGTTTACTGTCATGAATTTGTTTTCGCGTATCTGTTGACCGACTTAATTAACTGATTATTAGCGAATTGCTGTGTTATGTTTGTCATCGTGTAGGCCTATTTGAAGTTTTGGACGGAACTTGGCTCAGTGATTTGGAACTAATTACGAGATAATCGTCGCCATTCTGACAGTTTATATTCATAGTTATTAATGTAGTGAACGATTAATCAAAAGATATGACGTATTCAGTACTTAGTGTGATTGGCTTTATGATTGAAGGTTACGCCCTAGAGTCTTTTTACTGCTTTGTAATTGGTTAGAGTTTTGAAAATGAATAAAGAAAGTTTGAGTTGGTCTTGGCGAATACTCCACGACAGACGCAGTCAGTCCGAGAGAGTCTTGGGGCGAGCCTTGACGCAGTTCAGTCTTGGGCGAGTCTTGGTTCAGCCTTGTGAGAGTCTTGGGGACTTTTCCCCAGGGCGCTGTGTCTTACAGAGTGCTCGACAGACCGACTAAGACGAGAGCTGAAACGTATTTCGTTGTGTGTGCCTTATTTGACTGTAAAGTTAAAGTGACT